GGGAGTCCAGTGACAAAAACCATTATGTCATCTGCTGATCCCTGAGGATTTTTGAGTTTCTTATAAAGGGGCTCACATAGCCAGCCCTTCCTCTCACTTCTCCTTTCCTGGTTCTTGAACATGCAACAGCAAACCAAGCACATCAATTTGGAGGAAAAAACAAATCTCGTCTGTGCTCCGGTTGAAAAGGACAAACGATTACCCAGCAGAAACAACAGTCAACACCCTAAATAGCTCAATTGATTCAGCTTACACAACTCTAACTGAAAAATGAAGGTTGAGAAAAATTTCTGCTCAATGAGGACCAAAACTGTTATGCCCAGATCAGTCACAGACAAAGCCAGAGCTTTCCATGGACAATTTAAACAAGTGGGATCAAGATTCTGAAGCCTTGAAGGAATTGTAACAGGATATGACATATCGCTGCACCATTATGATCCCGAAGCCAAAGCACTGTTGAAGCAACAGCTACCAAGAGGTGGGCATGGGCTAGTCAAAGGTCATGGCAATGGTTTTTTGGGATGGTCAAGACACTCTGCTTGCTGATGTTCTGGAAGGCCAAAGAACAATAGCATCTGCTTTTTATGGGAGTAGTTTGAAAAGTTAGCGGAAGCGTTAGCAGAAACGCACACCAGGAAGCTTCCCCAGAGAGTCGCTCTCTACCACAGCTGTGCCCTTGCACAGTCCCCCCATCAGGCAGGGCAGCAGTGAGAGTCTCTGGGGAACCATGGGCATCCATCTTGATTTAAAGTACTGATTTGACTCCTTCTGACTTATGTTTGTTTCCTAATCTTTATTTTTTATTAAGGTTTTTACCATAGGGCTCATGCATTTGCCAGAGAGAGACAGAGAGACACAATGAGAGAAGTGAGAAATCACCCTTCAGAGGGGGATGGCCACGTTGCAGTCCCATTCTCCTCTTGGGATCTTGGGCATGCACGCATAGTCGCCTAGCATGAGTTTAAGCCACTGGGTCTGGGACTCGAACTATGGTTGACCACATAGGAGTCCAGTGACGTAGCCATTATGCCAACTGCTAGTCCCACTGTTTTCTAATCTTAAAATAGTCTTAAAAGGGTATCCATTCTTTTTCACTAAATGATGTATAATAATGTAAAAAAGAACTGATTTGGTTATATTCCCAGGACCCTCAGTTCTTTTTTTTTTTTTTTTTTTTAGAAAATGATTTATATTTTTAATTTTTAAATTCCATCTTTCTATAGACTTATTGTTTTGTTTGGTTTGTTTTGTTTTTAGACAGAGTCTTGGTCTGTTACTTAGGTGGATCTCGAACTTGGGACCCTCCTGCTTCAGTCCGCCAACTAGCTGGAACTTCCACAACATTTTTTATAGTACTGGAAACTAAAGCATAAAATAAATGCCCACAGTCCAGACTGACATAAATAAATGATTGAATTAATTAATAACTGAGGGAGAAGAGACAAATCTCTTGTGCAAAAGAATTCCAAATCAATTATGTATATGCTTCACCCTGAAGGAGGGTGAGAATGACTCCCCACCCTTTACTGTGCAGAGACTTCCTTCCAGAGAGCACAGTGTGGAAGGGGCCGGGTGGGGAAGAGTGACTTTATAGTGGACAAATCTCACCTCAGTTGGGGAAACAAAGCTCACATGCTAAGCCACGTTCACGTGCTAAGCCATGTTCACAAGCTAAGCCATATTGATAGTACGTGCTTCGTGATATAATGCAATGAAAATGGCACCTTACCTGCATGGCTTTTCTCCCCCAAATCCACAAGCCCAATCTAGTTATGAGGAACATACCCAGCAGAGGGGTAGAATACAATACACCTTACCAGTACTTCCTAAAACTGTTAAGGTTGTGAATAACAAAGTTGGGCCAGCCAGGTGGCAAGACGGTTAAGGCGCTGGATCTCACATGGCTGGCTGCAGTCTGAACCCTTGAGGTCTGAGAAACATGCTGGGTGTATGTGTGCGTATGTCCATGTCCTAAAAGGAGAATGGAGAAGGGATTGTAGAGTGGCCATCCTCCCAAGGGGTTCATTTCTCACTTTCCCTCTTTCTCTCTGGCAAGTGCACACACCCTATAGAAAATTACATAAAAGAAAAAAAAAAGAAAAAGGAAAATGAGAAAAGTCCAAAACAGCTGTCATAGCCAAGAGAAGCCTAGGAAGACGAGATGACTAGATGGAATGTGGGATTCCAGGTGGGATCCTGGGGCAGATAAAGGACAGAGGGCCCAAACCAAGGCAATCTGAAAAAATAATTAGTTCTAGAGGCCAGCAGGTGGCATAGTGGTTGGGGTGCTAGACTCCCACACGGCAGACCGTGGTTTGAGTCTCAGATCCAGCAGTTTGACACTCATGCCAGGCGCCTGTGTGTGCATGCCCAAAATCCCAATAGGAGAATGGAGAAGGGATTGCAGTGTGGTCATTTCCTCTGGGGGGTGATTTCTTGCTTTTTGTCTCTTGTCTCTCCAGCGAGTGAACATGCCCTATAGCAAAAATCTTTCTGTCTCAAAAAAAGAGTTAGTTCTGTTATAATAGTTAGTAATTATGTATCAATATCTGTTCATTCACTGAGGTAAATGTACTACACTAAAATAAGATGCAAATAAGATGTAACCGTACCTGCAGGGTGAGAAGCTGTGTGCAGACTCTCTGTACTATCTGCTCAGTTTTTCCTGTAAATCTGAAGCTGTTCTACAAGAAATTCTATTTTAAAAAGTAACACGGAAAATTTACAGGAAATGTCCAGAATAGGCAAATCTATAGAGACAGAAAGTAGATTGGTGGTTGTCTGGGGCTGGGGAGTGGGCTAATGGATGTGGGCTTTCTTTTGGGGCAATGAAAATGTTCTAAAAGTGGTTGTATTGGGCTGGCTCTGTGGCCTGGTGGTCAAGGCAGCTGGATTCCACATGGCCAACCACACGGTTCAATTCCCAAACCCGGTGGCTTGAAAACCACTCTGGGCACAGGTAGGTGCATGCTCAAAATCCCGAAAGGAGGGAGAGATGGAGGAAAAGAAATTGCAGCATGACCATTTCCAATGGGGTATGGGGGTGCTTTGTCCTCTCCCTCTCTCTCTGTCTCTGACTCTGACTTTCTTGGGTGAGCACAAGCATCCCCTGGCCAAAAATTTTTTTAAAAAATATTGTGCTGATGGTTGCACAATTCTGTAAATGTATTATAAACCACCCGATTGTGCTTAACAGGGCAGAAACCAAATCTGGGATTTGAGAAATGGCCTGGTTTGTGTGACCCACTCCAGGCCCTTCCACGGAAAGAGGATTGAGGGGATCTTCTTTTTTAACTAAAGACAGGCTAGCAGATTTGTAAGAGGAAGGGAAAAGGCTGGCGGGGGGAGGGCTGTCCATGCAGAAGGGAGGCTACCTGAGTGTGCAGGCCCCAAGGAGAGAGGATGGGCCTGGGGCAGGGGCAGGTGCGGGTCTCCTTGGCATCTTGGTGAGGCAGGAGAGGGAAGAAGGAGGGAGAAGGAGTGAGAGAGAGGGGACAGGGATGGGTTCCTGCGACCAGAAAGCAGGAGAAGAAAGATGCTTCTGCAGTGTCAGTGGCTTGCTGTGTCTGCGTGCTGATGTCTGAGCTGTGTGAGGGTGTGTGCTGTGTGGACTATACGTTCAGCGTGTCCTCCACCCTGATCCTCACTACAGATCCATCCCTGTGGGCCCCAGGGCCAGGCAATGCAGTCTCTCTCCAAGGTCCTGAACCAGCCCTCCACCCCTTTCCCATGAGGATCTGCCTGTAGTCCCCCTCTCTGTGTCTACCTACCCCTGCCAGGTCTTGCCCACATCACTGTCCTTCACTGTCCCCAGCCTGCCTTGTCTGACCACTCTGCAGCCTCTGCCCCACCCCCAGCGCTCACTCTGCAGTCCAGGGCTTCGGGCTTTCAGTTTCTCATGGCTCTTCCCCTTCCCTGAATGTGGCCTGCCTCTGTATCCTGCACAGGCTGCACTGTGGGCTCCTGGACCCTGGGCCTTGCCTTTCCTGGGCTGCAGCCCCACCCCACCCAGCCCTACCCTAGGAGACACGCTCTGGGGTTAGGTCCAGGCATCCCTCTGGAGGGTTTTATCACAGATGCAGGCTGGACAGCTGCCAGACTTTTAGGGAGGCTGGGGTTACCCTGCCCACCTGGCAAGACTGCTCTTCTCTCTGTCCTGGGGCCAGGAGGTGGCCCCCCAAATCTGCCCTTCTCTCAAGAACCTAAGACAAGCACAGCAGCTTCTCACTGCTTTTAACAGACTGGTGACGGTGGCCGGCAGCACTTGCAAACAACAAAAAAGGGAAAGGTATGAAATGACTGTCACCTCCCATGTCCTTACCCTCTGAGGCATAGCCCAAAGGCTACCTCGTGGGTGATTTTCCCAGCCCCAGAAGGACTCCCCAGCTGCCCACTCACTATTCCGCAGGGCTTCCATGGGCTGAGAGCTCAGACGGTAGGAGCATCTGACTGTCAGGCCCCTCGCCTCCCTGGAGTGCTGAAAAGGCAGATTCCAGTGTGGAGCGACTGCTCCCTGGAGTCTCTGCCAGGACTGAACCCACCAGACAGCTCAGCCTGCCCGCGCCAGGACCCTCTGTTCCACGTCTTCATATATAATTCATGCCACCTCCTTCCAAAGATGGTTTGAGGCCACTTCTGAGAAGGGGTGGGGCCTTTCTGCATTTGCAGGCACTTTACACTCTGGCGGGAAGGCAGGCAGGATCCGGGCACTGCAGAAGTGCTTCACGGAGGCTACCCTGTCCCCCCACCCCCAGGCCTGCAGTTCAGCACAACCACCAAAGACCCTCCTCTCCCTGAAGAAGGCCCACCCCCACCTGCACCTGCTCCCAGGATTAGCCCAGCTGAACCCTCCACCACCTGTCCCTGCCTGCCCTGTACAGGCAGAGATGGCCAGAGATACGCCCAGCACAGAGCAGAGTGTCTCAGCCATTCAGGCCACCCAGGAGCCTGGAAGGCTGGGACAGGTGGGCCAGCCTGGGCTGCATGCTGCGTGCAGGTACCTGGCCTCGGCGAGTCTCACAGTTGTGGAGGTAGCTCAAGTGATAGATCTTCAGGTTTAATGTGGCAAAATTCAGGTACTTTGAGAAAACCTGAAACGGGAATTGTAATGACAGGAGTTAAGAATTCCATGTCTGTCTGGCGAGCGCACACGCCCTATAGCGAAAACCTCTCCCCACCCCACCCCCCAAAAAAAGGAGTTAAGAATTCCAGCTTTCAGATGTGTGCCCAGGTGTGCATTTGCAGACAGATATGCTCACCCCAAGGCTGCCCAGAAGCCAAGGTACACACACGGAGGCAAGCCAGGAAGCTGCACCCAGCACATACGGGTATGGACTTACACACTCAAGTCTCGGCATGCAGAAAGTCACACGCAGATGTGCAGAAGGGACACAGTGACACACAGATGGGCACATAAAGCTGCCCCGAAGAGACGTGCCCCCAGACAGGTGTGGGAAGACAGGTGTGAAGGCACAAAGGGGGGCACATGCAGATGCCAGACACCTGACACTCACATCTTCATCTTCGCTGGTGAAGCACGGGCCATCAAGCTTATTCACTGCCATGATCACAGCCACGACATCTTTGCCGTTCATGGCAGGCATAGCCAGGATGTTCCTTGTCACGTAGTCAGTGAGCTCATCGGCAAACGAGCTGAAGTGGGGACACTGCAGGCAGAGGGGAAAGAGACGTGGGTGCTCTGTGGTCCTGAGTCCCTGCATCTTCTGGTCTCTGGGATCAGGGATAAGCCTGGACAGAGGCCAGTGTCCAGACCAGGGCTAAGATACCATGGCCCTGCCTTGGGCATCGGGACATGGCTACCGGGCAGTGAGAGCACTGCCTGTCCCAGGATGCCAGCCTGGCTGCCACAGCACTGAGCTGACTCCCAGACCTCCAGCCTTGGGGAGGTCGCACTGCACCTCCCTGTCCTGAACCCGCCTGATCCAACTGAATTGGCCTCCTGGGAGTCTCTTGAGCCTGTCCCTCCCACCTCATCTCCAAACGCTCCTACGGTTCCCTACGGCAACCTCCTTCCTTCTGGCCCTACATGCTCTTCCCCAAAAGATAACTACTGGGTGAATGAAGGATGAGCCCCATTCTGACCGGTGGCGTGTTTGCAGAACACTTACCCAGGATAAGCACAGCTGTGGACTTGCATTTGAGGGTCCCTCACACCCCCTGGAGTCTGTCCACCAGCCTCTCTGGATGCCCAGGCCCATGTTCCCAAGGGTCTGCTCCAGAGGTCCCCCTGCCCACCACTGTATGGCGTTCTCTGCCCCCACAGTGAGAGCTAGGTTACTCCTGATCCTCAGTGTGAGCTCCCACCTACTCCCACTCCCTCCAGGTTTAGAATGGCTCTGCCCCTCCCTGACCCCAGGCGCTGCCTCTGTAGGAACAGCTCAGCTGAGTTTTGCCTTCGTCCACCTGTACTGAGTATGAGTGAGACAGGCCACCTCCAGGTGACTCTGACTCTGTCTCACAAAGAGTTGAATGGGACCCTGGCCCAATTCTCCTACTTCCTGGGGTCTGACATTTGTTTACATGAGGCCAGTGACCAAGTGTCACCCTGACGAAGTGATGGTGGATGGCTCTGGAGTCAGGTCAACCAGGCTGGGGTCTGGACTTCCCATCTGCGTGACAGCCAGTTAGCAGGGGCTGGTGCTGCGACCCTCTCCTCAGTGGGCAATGAAGCACCAGTAACAGTGTCCGCTTCCTTGGTGGGTTTTTTTTTTTTTTTTGAGAGTT